CTTTACCTTTACTTGGACAGCAGCAGCGTTTGTAAATACTGCAATCTGCAAATAATCACACGCATACGGTTAGATTGTTTTTGTGGAGGAGAACCATGTGCTTGGTTATACCAGGAAGTTGCCGTCTTGGACAAGACTTCTGGATTACCCCAACGCTACATCTGGTTGTCTTTGTTTTGTGTGTGCGTGAAGCAGGAGAGATGCCGGAGAACCGCTCCGAAGCGTGTGATGGAAGCGTGCCTCGCCCCGTCGGTTGCCCTCTCGTCTTCCGGTAGCGTTACATCACACGCTAAGCAGATAAACCAGCTATCTGTTCTCGAATCAAACCCTGCCCTTGAATTAACACACTCGAGACCCCGTGACCCGCTTCCGGTGAAACCATGCCCTGCCTGGCACTTGGGTTGGAATCTTTCCCAGCGGAAAGGGATTACGTCTCCCTGCGAGACTGTGAGAGTGTTTGCCTAATCTCCAGATGAGCAAGAGCTCCATTGAAATTATACTATATAGAGATTTTTGAATGATCCGTCATCAGATTCTTGAAGTCACGCTAGGAGAGTTTGAATCATAGAATCGTACAGGAGACCCCAAGGGCCATCCAGTCCAACAATCAAAGCACCCCCAACAGATGGCCATCCCGTCACTGTTTAAAAGCCTCCACCAGACTCCGAGGCAGTGAGTTCCACTATTAAACAGCTTTTACTGTCAGGAAGTTCTTCCTAATTTTCAGGTGGAATCTCCTTTTTTGTCATATGAACACATGACTCATTTGGTGCGGTGGGAGATCACTCAGGCGTCCCTCTGCTGAAAGTTGAGTCCTGATCTATCTGCAAGGCTAACCCAAGGGAAAGGATTTGAAATTGAGTCAACCCAAGGAGAAGGACGTCCAGGACTGGATGGTATGGTGGTAGTTCACTCTGATTTTTTTTCTCAAAGAAGTACAAGACAAGTTGTGGTCTAAAGAGAATCAATAAGCTGATGGAACTGTGTCAGCTCAGGTCCACCCTGTTTAAAGATCTCAATCGGGATCCCATCAGGTCCGCTGGCTTTGCTATTTTTTAAATTGCCTAAAAGGAGCCCCTGGTGGCGCAGTGCGTTAAAACTCTGAGCTGCTGAGCTTGTTGACCGAAAGGTCGCAGGTTCGATTCCGGGGAGCAGCGTGAGTTTCCGCTGTCAGCCCTAGCTTCTGCCAACCTAGCAGTTTGAAAACATGCAAATGTGAGTAGATCAATAGGTATCGCTCCGGCAGGAAGGTAACGGCACTCCATGCAGTCATGCCAGCCACGTGACCTTGGAGGTGTCTACGGACAACGCCAGAGTCAGACATGACTGGACTTAATGTCAGAGGACAACCTTTACCTTTACCTTAAATTGCCTAATGGCTTTGCTGACATCCTCCAAACTAAGTAGTGCTGCAAGCTCATCCCTGGTATGTCTTTGCGGGCTTTGGTGTTTGAAGAATGCATGGCTATTTATTTACTTACTTACTTATTTACGACATTTATATACCTCCCTTCTCATCCCAAAGGGGATGCAGAGAGGCTTACAAGATATATATACATACAATATGTTATATTATTAGCATAGTACAATATCAGTATTAAATATTACTATATTGTACTGTACCATTATATTGTAATATTATTAGTAATATGACATGTAATATAATATATATAATTATGATATTGTATTATTAGTAGTAGTATTATATTGTATGTTGAGTGTGGATGAGCTCCCTCTGTCAGCTCCAGCTCCCCATGCGGGGACATGAGAGAAGCCTCCCATAAGGATGGTAAAACATCAGAATTTCTGGGCATCCCCTGGGAAACGTCCTTGCAGATGGCCAATTCTCTCACACTGGAAGCGACTTGCAGTTAATTATAATAATATATTAGTAGTAGTAGTATTACCGTATATACTTGAGTATAAGCTGACCCGAATACAAGCCGAGGCACCTAATTTTATCACAAAAAACTGGGAAAACGTATTGACTTGAGTACAAGCCAAGGATGGGAAATGCAGCATCTACTGGTAAATTTCAAAATTAAAATATATACCATTAAATTACATTAATTGAGGCATTAGTAGATTAAATATTTACATAAAACTGTAATTTAAGATAAGACTGCCCAACTCTGATTAAACCATTATTCCAGCCGTCTTCAATGTAAATGTGCTTACGTATCCTTCCAATAATAATAAAGAGAGTAAAATAATAAATGTAATTATATAATAATAATAATAATAATAATAATAATAATAATAATAATAATAATGGAAATGTAATAATACCAGTAATAATATCATAAAATAATAAATGTTATAACAATAATAAATAGAGTAAAATTATAAATATAATAATAAAAGAGTAAAATTATAAATGTAATAAAAATAATAACAGAGGAAAATAATAAATAACCTTGACTCGAGTATAAGTCAAGGGGAACTTTCTCAGCCTAAAAAGGGGCTGAAAAACTAGGCTTATACTCAAGTATATACAGTATATTGCATTTCATTATAATACTATAAATGTTATATGTATATACAATATATTATATTACATTACATTACATTATATTATATTATTAGCATAGCACACGAGACAAGATGGAACTGTTCTCTGTTGTGTCAGCTCAGGTCCACCCTGTTTAAACATCTCAACCGGGATCCCATCAGGTCCGCTGGCTTTGCTATTTTTTAAATTGCCTAATGGCTTTGCCGACTTTCTCCAAACTAAGTAGTGCTGCAAGCTCATCCCTGGTATGTCTTTGTGGGCTTTAATGTTTGAAGAATGTGTGGCTATTAGATATCCAGCTCAGCTGAAGCAGGCATTTGGGGCATCCAAAGCTAAATCTCTTAATGGTCTCTGTACCATTCCTGGAGTTTTCTAATCTCTGTCCTCTTTTACTCCAAATGTATGAAATTGGTTCTGGGAGGGGGCAGAGGCATTTCGGCTGGGCGCTGATAGCAGATTCGTGCCATTTCCGCACGGAAATCAAAATGATGGACAAAGAAGATAAGCCGGTCAGCGGCTCTCAAGAAATGCAGCTGGATCTCGGCCTACGTGTCATTCCTAATCTGGTACTATTACACTTAATCCCATTTAAGGCTCCTGGTAGAATCCTTGCCTCGGTGTTTGTGATGCGGAAACAGTATGGTGTTGAACAGACGGCATGACGTCCAGCAATGGCTACAATTCCTATCTTTTGACAGTCTGTTATCCCAGGATGAAATGCTTAAGCTGTTGTTCCAAACGTTCAGGGAAGGAATGTCATTTCACCATTCCCAAATCTCAAGGCCACAAGGGCTGTTGGGTCGCAATTCCCATTATTCCCAGGTAATCCAAAATTCTGGGAGTTGTTGTTCAACAACATCTGGGGGACCCAAACTGGGTAAAAAGTAAAGAGCACTGACCACTACGTTATATGTTGTCGAAGGCTTTCATGGTTGGAATCAATGGGTTGCTGTGAGTTTTCCGGGCTATCTGGCTGTTTTACAGAAGCATTCACCCCTGATGTTTCGCCCACATCTATGGCAGGCATCCTCAGAGGTCTGTTGGAAACTAGACAAGTGTGGAATAATATCCAGGGTGGGAGAAAGAGCTCTTGCTTACTCGAGGCAGGTATGAATGTTGCAATTGGCCACTTTGATTAGCACTGAATGGCCTTGCAGCTTCAAAGCCTGGCTGCTTGCTGCTTGGGGGAATCCTGTGAGGGAACTCTAAAATCAGGACAGTAAATGAAGAACAACATTCAAAACACAAGAATAAATTAGGGCCAGCTAATTGTAATGTTATATTGTTATTATATTCATATGATTTTATGTAATTACTAGCAGCCCCTGCCATGCCTTGCTGTGGCCCAATCTGTGTATATGTGTTTTGTGTGTATATATATTTGTGTATATGTATGTTTGCATATATATGTGTGCGTGTGTGTGGTTTTGTGCGTGCTTTTGGCTTCTTAAGTTTCTTCTGCTGTGTTTTTCAATGTTTTTATGAGTGATGGTCACTTGTTGGCCTGTTAGGTGTATTGTGTCCAAATTTGGTGTCAATTCATCCAGTGGTTTTTGAGTTATGTTAATCCCACAAACGAACATTACATTTTTATTTATACTAATTATGATGTTGTTGTTTGTTGCTTGTGTTTTTGGTTTTATTTTGCTGTGATTTGTTGTTTGGACCTGGCCTCATGTAAGCCACCCCGAGTCCCCGTTGGGAAGATGGTGGCGGGGTATAAATAAAGATTATTATTATTATTATTATTATTATTTTATTATTATTACCTCCCAACAAAGGATTCCCCCAGGCAGCAAACAGCCAGTCTTTGAAGCTTCGTGGCCATTATATGCTAATCAAAGTGGTCAGTTGCAACATTCACATTCACATTCACAAGCAGACAATAATTCTTTCTCCCACCCTGGAAAAAGACAATTTTAAAAATAGCAAAGCCAGTGGACCTGATGGGATCCCACAGATATATAAACCCCACTTTCCTAGTTTCCAACAGACCTCACAACCTCTGAGGATGCCTGCCATAGATGTGGGAGAAATATCAATAGAGAATGCTTCTGGAACATGGCCATAAATCTCCAAAATAAAGTGAGGGAGCCAATGTAAATATTGTACAGAAACTCAGAAAATTGTGCTCATGGTTTAATATATTGAGGGAATATGTGGCCTGGGTGATGAGTGGTGTGGTTGGGAGGATTTTGACAATGAAAAATTAATACTGAACAAGGAATGGTAATACGACTATGAGATTTGGATCTGATTCTATTCGAGGCGTGATGACGTTATATGTATTGTTTGTGGATGTTTGTCATAAGTATTGTTCAATGTTGCACATTTTATTGTAAACCGCTTAGAGTCGCCTTTTTGGCTGATATACGCGGTATACAAAAGAAGTAAATAAATAAATAAATAAATAATAATAATAATAATAAAATACATTATTGGGAAAATGTAGAGCTTCTCAGTTCAATTTTGCTGTCTTCCCTTCCAGCTTTGAAGGAGCGCCATCACAGCCGCCTTGGATATGAGCGACTTGGCCATCGATTCAACATCAACTCCTGAGGACGCACCACCAGAGGAGATGCCGGCGGCGGGAGCGGTGACGCCCCCCCAGGGGAACAGCGGGGCTACGGCGACAGCTTTAGGGGTCATCACGGAAGGGGTGGGCGAGCTGGCCGTCATCGACCCTGAGGTGGCCAAGAAGGCCTGCGAGGAGGTTCTGGAGAAGGTTAAGCTGATGCACTGCATCTCCCCTGACGGATCCATCCGGTTACAAGAAGGCAGGGGCGGCCCCCGGCACCAGGACCCGTCCCTTCCGAACGGGGAATGCTGCGAGATCCGGTGTTTGGACGATCCTCCCGAGGACAAAATCCAAGAGGAAGAGGAGCAGCACCACCACCAGCAAACCCCGACAGGAGCCAGTTCGGTGAAGAGCGCCCGGCGCCGGCAGAAAAACAACTCGGCCAAGCAGTCGTGGCTGTTGCGGCTGTTTGAGTCGAAGCTCTTCGACATCTCCATGGCCATCTCGTACCTGTACAACTCCAAGGAGCCCGGGGTGCAGGCCTACATCGGGAACCGGCTCTTCTGCTTCCGCAACGAGGATGTGGACTTCTACCTACCCCAGCTGCTCAACATGTACATCCACATGGACGAGGACGTGGGGGACGCCATCAAGCCCTACATCGTCCACCGCTGTCGGCAGAGCATCAACTTCTCCCTCCAGTGCGCCCTCCTCCTGGGGGCCTACTCCTCCGACATGCACATCTCCACCCAGCGCCACTCTCGCGGGACCAAGCTTCGCAAGCTCATCCTCTCGGACGAGCTCAAGCCGGCCCAGCGGAGGAGGGAGCTGCCGGCCCTTGGCCCGGCCCCCGACACGGGCCTCTCGCCCTCCAAGCGGACTCACCAGCGCTCCAAGTCGGATGCCACGGTCAGCATCAGTCTCAGCAGCAACCTGAAGCGGACAGCCAGCAACCCCAAAGTGGAGAACGAGGATGAGGTGAGAGAATTGGGGAAAAGATGGGACCTCGGAGGTCAGTGGGATTCATTCCTGAGCATTGGTGGGTTGTGATGGGCCTTCAAGTCAGTCTTGACTTATGGTGACCCTATGAGAAGGTTTCCTTATCATGATTTCTTCAGAGGTCAATCTTCAAGAGCGTAATTGTTCTCCAGGTTGATTTGTAATGTTGTCAGGATTGGGTTTTGTCAGGTTCCAGGTTTCTAATGTTCTCTGTCCATTGTTCCTGGGGACAACAACTCCTCAGAACCTCCGCCAGCCAACATTACTGTTCCTGAGCATTGGTGGATTGTGATGGGCCTTCAAGTCAATCTTGACTTATGGTCACCCTATGAGAAGGTTTCCTTATCATGATTTCTTCAGAGGTCAATCTTCAAGAGCGTAATTGTTCTCCAGGTTGATTTGTAATGTTGTCAGGATTGGGTTTTGTCAGGTTCCAGGTTTCTAATGTTCTCTGTCCATTGTTCCTGGGGACAACAACTCCTCAGAACCTCCGCCAGCCAACATTACTGTTCCTGAGCATTGGTGGATTGTGATGGGCCTTCAAGTCAATCTTGACTTATGGTCACCCTATGAGAAGGTTTCCTTATCATGATTTCTTCAGAGGTCAATCTTCAAGAGCGTAATTCTTCTCCAGGTTGATTTGTAATGTTGTCAGGATTGGGTTTTGTCAGGTTCCGGGTTTCTAATGTTCTCTGTCCATCGTTCCTGGGGACAACAACTCCTCAGAACCTCCGCCAGCCAACATTACTGTTCCTGAGCATTGGTGGATTGTGATGGGCCTTCAAGTCAATCTTGACTTATGGTCACCCTATGAGAAGGTTTCCTTATCATGATTTCTTCAGAGGTCAATCTTCAAGAGCGTAATTGTTCTCCAGGTTGATTTGTAATGTTGTCAGGATTGGGTTTTGTCAGGTTCCAGGTTTCTAATGTTCTCTGTCCATTGTTCCTGGGGACAACAACTCCTCAGAACCTCCGCCAGCCAACATTATTGTTCCTGAGCATTGGTGGGTTGTGATGGGCCTTCAAGTCAGTCTTGACTTATGGTGACCCTATGAGAAGGTTTCCTTATCATGATTTCTTCAGAGGTCAATCTTCAAGAGCGTAATTCTTCTCCAGGTTGATCTGTAATATTGTCAGGATTGGGCTTTGTCAGGTTCCAGGTTTCTAATGTTCTCTGTCCATCGTTCCTGGGGACAACAACTCCTCAGAACCTCTGCCAGCCAACATTTTTTTTGTATTTATTTATTGTGTCATCCACAACCAGACCATTGTATTACATTTCTAACAGAACAAAACAAACAAACAGATAAAAAACCCACAAATTTTGCAAATTTGGTAGTTGATTAAATGTCTTTTGACCAGTATCTGGCCACTTGGAGTGCCTCTGGTGTTGCCGCAAGAAGGTCCTCCATTGTGCATGTAGCAGGGCTCAGGTTGCATTGCAGCAGGTGGTCTGTGGTTTGCTCTTCTCCACACTCGCATGTCAGGATTCCACTTTGTAGCCCCATTTCTTAAGATTGGCTCTGCATCTCGTGGTGCCAGAGTGCAGTCTTTTCAGCGCCTTCCAAGTCGCCCAGTTTTCTGTGTGCCCGGAGGGAGTCTCTCATTTGGTATCAGCCATTGGTTGAGGTTCTGGGTTTGAGCCTGCCACTTTTGGACTCTCGCTTGCTGAGGTGTTCCAGCGAGTGTCTCTGTAGATCTTAGAAAACTATTTCTTGATTTAAGTCGTTGACATGCTGGCTGATACCCAAACAGGGATGAGCTGGAGATGTCTCTGCCTTGGTCCTTTCACTATTGGCTGCTACTTCCCGGTGGATGTCAGGTGGTGCAATACCGGCTAAGCAGTGTAATTTCTCCAGTGGTGTAGGGCGCAGACACCCGTGATAATGTGGCATGTCTCATTAAGAGCCACATCCACTGTTTTAGCGTGGTGAGATGTGTTCCACACTGGGCATGCATACTCAGCAGCAGAGTAGCACAGCGCAAGGGCAGATGTCTTCACTGTGTCTGGTTGTGATCCCCAGGTTGTGCCAGTCAGCTTTCGTATGATATTGTTTCTAGCACCCACTTTTTGCTTGATGTTCAGGCAGTGCTTCTTGTAGGTCAGAGCACGGTCCAGAGTGACTCCCAGGTATTTGGGTGCGCTGCAATGCTCCAGTGGGATTCCTTCCCAGGTAATAATCCTCAGAGCTCGGGATGCTTGTCTGTTCTTAAGATGAAAGGCACATGTCTGTGTTTTAGATGGATTAGGGATAGGCAGTAAGAGCATCTAGAGCTCCAGAGAGCTTCTGTTCAACCATCTCAAAGCTCCCTGATGGCACGATCATCAGCATAGATGAAACTCTCTGTCCCTTCTGGCAGTATTATTGTTGTTATTATTACCATATATACTCGAGTATAAGCCAATCCAAATATAAGTCGAGGCACCTAATGTTACCACAAAAAAGTGGAAAAACGTATTTACTCGAGTCTAAGCCGAGGGTGAGAAATGCAGACGCTACTGGTAAATTTCAAAATAAAAATAGATAACAATAAAATTACATTAATTGAAGCATCAGTTTTTGAATATTTACATAAAATTGTAATTTAAGATAAGACTGTCTTAACTCTGATTAAACCATTATTCTAACCTTCTTCAATGTAAATGTGCTTACGTATCCTTCCAATAATAATAGAGTAAAATATTAAATGTAATAATAACAATAATAATAGAGCAAAATAATAAATGTAATAATAATAAACAGAGTAAATAATAAATGTAATAACAAACAGAGTAAATAATAAATAGTAAATTATAAATAGACTAAAATAATAAATATAATAATAAAACTAGAGAAAAATATTAAATATAATAATAATGATAAATAGAGTAAAATAATAAATGTAATTGTGCTTCAATATTTATATTTACATTTTTAAATGTACTAAGTTCGTATGAAACTGACTTTTTTCCTGTGCTCGTCTATGACTGAACTAAATGATTTGATTTGATTTAGTAAATAGAGTAATATAAGGAATGTAATAATAAAACTAGAGTAAAATATTAAATGTAATAATAAATAGAGTATAATAATAAATGTAACTGTGCTTCAGTATTTATATTTAAATTTTAAATGTGCTAAGTTCGTATGAAACTGTGACTTTTTTTTCCTGTGCTGGTCAATGACCGAAATAAGTGATTTGATTTGATTTAGTAAATAGAGCAATATAATAAATGTAATAAAAATGATAATAATAAAGTAGTGGATATGTAATACAATAATAATAATACTGATAGTAGAATAATAACTGTAATAATAATAATAACCTAGTAAAATAATAAATCACTGTGACTCGAGTATAAGCCAAGGATGAGAAATACAGACTCTACTGGTAAATTTTAAAATAAAAATAAATAACAATAAAATTACATTAATTGGAGCATCACTAAGTTCAATGTTTTTGAATATTTACATAAAATTGTAATTTAAGATAAGACTGTCCTACCCTGATTAAACCATTATTCTAACCTTCAATGTAAATGTGCTTATATATACTTCTAATAATAATAGAGTAAAATATTAAATGTAATAATAATAGTAATAATAGAGCAAAATAATAAATGTAATAGTAATAAACAGAGTAAACAATAAATAGACTAAAATAAAAAATATAATAATAAAACTAGAGAAAAAAATATTAAATATAATAATGATAAATAGAGTAAAATAATAAATGTAATTGTGCTTCAATATTTATATTTACATTTTTAAATGTACTAAATGTATTAAGTTTGTATGAAACTGTGACTTTTTTTCTATGACTCAAATAAATGATTTGATTTGATTTAGTAAATTGAGTAATATAATAAATGTAATAAAATAATAATAATAAAATAGTGCATATGTAATACAGTAATAATAATAATATAACAATAAAATTACATTAATTGAAGCATCAGTAAGTTCAATGTTTTTGAATATTTACATAAAATTGTAATTTAAGATAAGACTGTCCAACCCTGATTAAACCATTATTCTAATCTTCAATGTAAATGTGCTTATATATCCTTCCAATAAGAATAGAGTAAAATAATAAATGTAATAGTAATAAACAGAGTAAATAATAGACTAAAATAAAAAAATATAGTAAAACTAGAGAAAAATATTAAATATAATAATAATGATAAATAGAATAAAATAATAAATGTAATTGTGCTTCAATATTTATATTTACATTTTTAAATGTACGAAATGTACTAAGTTCGTATGAAACTGTGACTTTTTTTTCCTGTGCTGGTCTATGACCGAAATAAATGATTTTATTTGATTTAGTAAATAGAGCAATATAATAAATGTAATAATAATAATAAAGTAGTGGATATGTAATACAGGAATAAGAATAATACTGATAGTAGAATAATAATTGTAATAATAATAATAATAATAATAATAACCTAGTAAAATAATAAATAACTTTGACTCGAGTATAAGCCGAGGTGGGCTTTTTCAGCCTAAAAAAAGGGCTGAAAAACTTTGCTTATACTCAAGTATATACAGTAAGTGAAAAGCAGGGTAGCTCTGTTTTTTCTGGGTATTTTCCTGGGCTTTTCTCTGCCAGACCGACAGCCTTTCACTTTCTTTGAGCATTACGTTTCATCGTGGAGCTTTTATAGCTTGCAAGCGCCCACTGCCAAGCTAGCAAAAGCAAGGGGAAGGCTTCGATTTCCCTTTGCTTCTTTCTCTGTCTTGGAACCTCAGCCGATCATCAGAGAAAGGAAAAAGGCTGGGTGGAATTTCAGCAGATGAATATTTGATGCCACAAAAGAAGAACATTCTTTCCACTCCCTCCTTTCTTCTGTTACGTTCCTAGAGGCGCATGTTCAGAATGGGCTGAACAAAGCCATCTAAACTGGGGCATCTTCCCCAGGTGATGGAGTTAGAAAACTTTATGTACGAGGTTGGATGGGGGATTCTGGGTCTGGTAGTCACAGGAGTCACAGTTAGCAGCCCTGTGCTGTTTCAGAGTGAATGTATGTGTACCTGTATGAGCATTTTCTTTTTTAAATATTTATTTATTTATTATATAATTTGTTATTATTATATTTTATTATATTTTTTATTTGCCCAACCAGTGGGCATCCACTGGTTGGTGTCCCGTGCCAAGTTTCCAGCCGGCAGAGAGCACAAACCTTCTGGCTCGAGAATTGGCAAGTCAGAAATCCTCCTTGTTCGCAGGGACAAACAATGGGCTGACACAGAGCCTCGGAGGCCCCTAGTTGCCCATGACTAGCTCAGCCCCTGGCCAGCTGGAAACCAAAGCCTCTCGCTCATCATTAATGCAGACTTTGCATGAGTCAGGTTTCTTTGGTTGCTGGATCTCTTTTTAAATTTTATTTATTTACGACATTTATATGACACCCTTCTCATGCCGAAGGGGTTGTGTCAGCTCGTGTCCACCTTCTTTAAAGATCTCAACAGGGATCCCATCAGGTCCGCTGGCTTTGTTGTTTTTTAATTGGCTTGTAGTGCTGCAAGCTCATCCATGGTATGTCGTTGCGGGATTTGCCAGAGTACCTATTTGGCCATGTTGGAGCTGTGGTTAAGGAGGTTATGGTAATGCTATTTCCAATGTAGTGGAATAGATAGACAGACAGATAGATAAATAAATAGATAAATAGATAAACATAATGTTCGTTTATGGGATTAACGTAACTCAAAACCCACTGGAAGATTTAACACCAAATTTGGACAGCATATACCTAACTACTCAATGTATGTCCTTCACTCCAAAATATTGATTTTGTCATTTGGGAGTTGTACTTGCTGGGATTTATAGTTCACGTACAATCAAAGAGCATTCTCGACTCCACCAATGATGGAGTTGAACCGAACCTGGCACACAGAACTCCCATGGCCAACAGGAAACACTAGAAGGGTTTGGTGGGCATTGATCTTGAGTTTTGGAGTTGTAGTTTACCTCCACCCACTGTGGACTCAAACAATGATGGACCAAACTTGGCACGTATATTCAATATGCCCAAATGTGAACACTGGTGGGGTTTAGGGAAAATAGACCTTGACACTTGGTAGTTGTAGTTGCTGGGATTTATAGTTCACCTACAATCAAAGAGCATTCTGAACTCCAGCAATGATAGATTTGGGCCAAACTTCCCACAAAAAAACCCATGAACAACAGAAAGCACTGTGTTTTCTGATGGTCTTTCGTGATCCCTCTGACACCTCCTCACGACCCCTGCAGGGATCCCGACCTCCAGGTTGAGAAACACGGCCTTACTGTGTGTTGACTGTACTCTACTGTACTGCAATTTCATTAAGCTGGTGGAGTTGTTGTGTCAGCTCAGGTCCACCCTGTTTAAAGATCTCAACAGGGATCCCATCAGGTCTGCTGGCTTTGTTATTTTTTAATTGGCTAATGGCTTTGCTGACTTCCTCTAAACTAAATAGTGCTGCAAGCTCATCCCTGGTGTGTCGCTGTGGGATTTGCCAGAGTACCTCTTTGGCCATGTGGGAGTTGCAGTTAAGGAGGTTATTGTAGTGCTATTTCCAACATAGTGGAAGTGATTTCAATAAACTTTCAATAAACTGATGCAGTTGTGTCAGCTCGGGTCCATACTCTTTAAAGATCTCAACAGGGATCCCATCAGGTCCGCTGGCTTTGTTGTTTTTTAATTGGCTGATGGGTTTGCTGACTTCCTCCAAACTAAGTAGTGCTGCAAGCTTATCCCTGGTATGTCGTTACGGGATTTGCCAGAGTACCTCTTTGGCCATGTTGGAATTGCAGTTAAGGAGGCTATAGTAGTGCTCTTTCCAACGTAGTGGAATTGATTTCAATAAACTTTCAATAAGCTGATGCAGTTGTGTCAGCTCGTGTCCACCCTCTTTAAAGATCTCAACAGGGATCCCATCAGGTCTGCTGGCTTTGTTGTTTTTTAATTGGCTGATGGGTTTGCTGACTTCCTCCAAACTAAGTAGTGCTGCAAGCTCATCCCTGGTATGTTGTTGCGGGATTTGCGAGACTACCTTTTTGGCCATTTTGGAGCTGTGGTTATGAAGGTTATGGTAATGCTATTTCCAATGTAGTGGAATTGATTTTTTATCCTTCACAAGTTTGGTACCATCTGATGAACGTAGAGGGTGTATGGCCAGGCTCTTCTTGTCTGTGGCTGCCTCCCGTGTCAGCTCCGAAATGCTGAGAGACTGTCTCAAATCATGTGATCTGACCTCAATATCTTTGCTCAGTGTACTGGGGAAGAATGTGATCTCCCTTGTGTGATTGTGTGGGTAACAAGGCCTGTCTCTGTGCTGGAGCCTCTGCGGTGACAGCGAGGGCAGCGTCAAACAGTTGGCGATTCATCCCCTTGGCATCTCGTTCTCAGACCGCAAGCGGAAAAGACTCATTAATAGCCAGTTTGTGGGGCAAAGTCCGTCCTTCGTTGTTGCTGTGTCACGTCTTGCCCTTCGCCAAGAGTGTGGGGACACTGTTCCCCCGCTTCTTGATGCCACCTTTGCTCTCTTTTATCCTTTGGAGAAGAAAAATGGAAATATTTGCCATTGGGTTCCATTTCTCTTCTTGACTCTCCTGTCCCAAATATTCATTGGGTCCAGCTCTTTCTAGCAGTCCACATCATATGAAATGGATATGTGTGCAAAGTGATACACAGGCTTGTGAGCACGTATAGGAAGCAATGTTTACATAAGACTTCCTGCTTTGGTCACCTGCAGGCTCTTGGAAGTCACCTCCGGCCATTTCACTTGTATTTATAGTATACTCTAGGGTCTCTCAGGATCTCCTGGTGGTGTAGCCGGTTAAACTGTTGAGTTTCTGTACTTGCTGACTGAAAGGTTGGTGGTTCGAATCCAGGGAGCGGGGTAAGCTCCTGCTGTTAGCCCCAGCTTCTGCTGAACTTAAAAGTTCGAAAACATGCAAATATGATTAGATCAATAGGTGCCGTTTCTGTGGGAAGGTAATGGCAGCGGAATACCGAGGAAGAAGCGTTCCTTACTTGGGTCTCAGCTGCAGTCCCTGAGGCAATTGATCCGAAAAGCAGGCTTGGAGCCGGTACCCACTCCCACTTTGGGCCTACGGGTGCAAGCATTGGGCCTACATGCCCAGGCCTTGCAAGGCCTGCAGCAGAACATCGAGGAAGGAGCGCTCCTTACTCCGGTCTCAGCTGCAGTCCCTGAGGCAATCGATCCGAAAAGAAGGCTTGGAGCCGGTACCCACTCCCACTTTGGGCTTACAGGTGCAGGGATTGGGCCTACATGCCTAGGCCTTGCACGGCCTGCAGTGGAACATCGGGGAAGGAGTGCTTATTACTCGGGTCTCAGCTGCAGTCCCTGAGGCAGTCGGTCCAAAAAGCAGGCTTGGAGCCGGTATCCACTCCCACTTTGGGCCTACGGGTGCAGGCATTGGGCCTAGATGGCTTGGCCAGGCCTCGCAGGGCCTGCAGTGGAACATTGAGGAAGGAGCGCTTCTTACTCGGGGCTCAGCTGCAGTCCCTGAGGCAATCAATCCAAAAAGCAGGCTTGGAGCCGGTACCCACTCCTGCCTGTCTTTTGTTTCAAGTGTATTTTTGTTTCAGGAGGGGCCTTCCCATTTCATGTCATCCGAATGGACGGAACGAAACGGAAACACGAATCAAACGAGCACATGGGGTCTACGGGTGCAGGATTTGGGCCTATGTGCCCGGGCCTCGCAGGGCCTACAGCAGAACGCCGAGTAAGGAGCGCTCCTTAATTGGGGCTCAGCTGCAGTCCTTGAGTCAATCGATCCGAAAAGCAGGCTTGGAGCCGGTACCCACTCTCGCCTGCGTTTTGTTTTGAGTGTATTTTTGTTTCAGGAAGGGCCTTCCCGATTCGTGCCATCCAAATGAACGGAACAAAATGGAAACACGAATCAAACGGATGGGACAAATTTCGGGCCCGTGACTACTATCTACTTCTAGAATACTAGGCCTGTGCTCCATGTGCATGCAGGAGAGTGTAGCATGAAACTGTTGCTTCCAGTCACTTGGACAGAGATACTTTTGGGAAGGTTGGGCATTTGGAGACGAGTGTTTAACGGGAGTCCGAAAAACTGTTTTATAAACTCTTTGCCTTTTCTCTCCTCAACTTTCTTCCCACCCTCACCCCACCCGCTACTATTTCCTCCCTCTCATCCATTTCCCAGGAGTTGTCATCGAGTACGGAAAGTCTTGATAGAGCCTTTTGCTCCGTAAGTGGCCCACGTGTTTAGTTTGCCCTGGCCGTCAGGCTGCTTGCCTCGTTTTCCCCTTCTTTCCAAAGCACTCCTCTTTCTCTTTCTCTTTCTTTCTTCAACAGCAGCATTTCCTCTGTGCCGCCATCACCACCATCTTCCCCTCCACCATGTCACTTGGGCTGTGTAGCTTGACTTGCCAAAGCAGTAAAGACAGATCAGTTATCTCATTCCATCTCTTTTCTTACTCAACACACTTACCATCTGAGACCCAACAGGGATCCCATCAGGTCCGCTGGCTTTGTTATTTTTTAATTGGCTGATGACCAATTAAAACGGTAACCCTTTTTGCCCAGCAATGGAGTCTCATGCATGCAATGCCGCGTTCTAGCATTGTCATCGCCAGCGTCCTTTGCGCAGCTTTCGCATGGCACCACGCTGCCAACTTGCAGCCAGAAACAACCTCTCATTTCAAGATTGTGTTTTTCTGCATTGCCTCCTTTCCTCAGGGCACAGATTGCCCGGCAGCAGTATTAGTAGCTGCAGTCGCGCAATAGGTTAAACCCTTGTGCTGGCTGAACTGCTGACCTGAAGGAACAGCGGTTTGAATCTATGAGACAGGGTGAGCTCCTGTTTGTCAGCTCCAGCTTCCCATGCTGGGGCATGAGAGAAGCATCCACAGGATGGTAAAACATCCAGGCGTCCCCCTGGAGGCTTCTCTCATGTCCCTGCATGGGAAGCTGGAGCTGACAAATGGGAGCTCATCCCTCTCCCTAGATTCGAACCGCTGACCTTTTGTCAGCAGTCTTGCTGGCACAAGGGTTTAACCCATTGCGCCACCGGGGGCTCAGAAGTTGATGAAGGAAGGCAGCTTCTTGATTTTGAAAGACATTGAGGAAATCACTACAAATAAATTGATTTTTGGAACCTTTTCGGTGGCTCGTAGGGTTGAAACTTCCCAGGCAGGAAGCAGCCAGGCTCCGAAGCTGCAAGCCTTTTCAATGTTGTTCAAAATGGCCAATTGCAACATTCACACGCCTCAGAATAATGTCTGGGGTGAGAGAAAGAACTCTTGTCTGTTGGAGGCAAGTGTGTATGTTGTGTGAATGTTATTTATTTTTTATTTTATTTATTTACAGTATTTATATTCTGCCTTTCTCACCCCACAGGGGACTCAGGGCGGATTACAATGTACACATACATGGCAAACATTCGGTGCCATAGACACACAACATAAGATGCTATTTAACATTCCAGCTTTTTCATGAGGTTATTCTGGCCACCGGTGGAGCTATCACTTCACCGTCCATTTGTGACACCGATGAAGTACTTCCTCATTCTTTGCATGCTTGCTGGAGTTTTTTATGGTGTCGTAAATTAGCCTCCCCACATAAGCGGTACATAAATTTCCTACTTGACAGATGCAACTGTCTTTCGGTCCCAAAGGTCGACAGAAAGCTACACAAATTGGTCGGAAGCTCACTCTGACCTGGGCTGGCTTCGAACTCATTACCTTTTGGTCAGTAGTGATCTTAATGCAGCTGACTCCCAGCCAGCTGCGCCACAGTCCTGGTGCTTAGCAATGAATGGCCTTGCAGCTTCAAATCCTGGCTGTTTCCTTTTTCAGGTAATCCATGGTTGGTTCTTTCTCCCACCCTGGACATCATTCCACAGATATATAAACCCCACTTGCTTAGTTTCTAACAGACTTCACAACTTCTGAAGATGCCTGCTGTAGATGTGGGCGAAACGTCAGGAGAGAATGCTTCTGGAATATGGCCAGACAGCCGGGAAGACTCACAACAACCCAGTTTTTTTTACAAAATATACCCATTTGATCAAGTGACCCACATTCGAAGCCCTGTTTTAACTGAAGGAGAAGACAAGCATTCCAGGACATAACTTGCTTTGAAGATTCACCCTATTTACATTATTTTAAAAATGAAAATACGTAGTACTCTGGTTAAATAATTTTCTCATGCCCAGCCCCACATCGTTTTGAGTTATCGATCAAAGAGGAAATGCTGTTCTCTTGCTACCTTGACATTTTCTTCCCCTTCCAAAATGTTTATTTAGCACGACGGCGTGTTTGGGACCAATGATTTGCTTCTTCTGTGATCTCTTTTTTTAAAAACAAATTGGTTGTTTTGCTGCGTTTTCTGTTTGATTTCCCTCCTCCTTTTTCATTACACCTCAAGTCCTATCCCAGCGAATAATTCCGCAAATGTGTAAGAAGTTCGGGACTGGTGAAAACTTTTGATTCCAATCAGATGCATCTTGCAGTCTTGTAAATCTTTGCGTTGTTCCAATCTTCTTCCTCTTCTTCTTCACATAGGGACCCCATTCTGTCCCTCGAATCCTTTCTTTTCCCACTCAGGACCCCAAAGGAGGACCCTCACATTTCAATTGGATGGCTGTTGTTAATTCTTCCATGCCAGCATTTTCCATCCCTTTGCTGCCATTCTCATTTTTACCTCCATCTCAGTACAAAAGGTACAGAAGGTGGCGAGACTATACAGAAGATCTGTATAGGAAGGATAATAATATCGAGGATAGTTTTGACGGTGTGGTGAGTGAATTAGAACCAGACATCCTGAGGAGTGAGGTCAAATGGGCCTTAAGAAGCATTGCTAACAACAAGGCAGCAGGAGACGGGATCCCAGCTGAACTGTTCAAAATCTTGAAAGAGTATGCTGTCATGGTGATGCATGCCATATGACAGCAAGTATGGAAAACACAAGAATGGCCTTCAGACTAGAAAAAATCAACTTATATCCTCATACCAAAAAAGGGAAATACTAAAGGCTGCTCAGACTTCCATACAGTGGCCCCCTTATTTCTCATGCCAGTAAGGGAATGCTCAAGATCCTGCAAGGAAGACTCCAGCCATTATTGTTGTCTCGCGGGAGAAGAGGAACTTCGCGCGAGATCTGGACAGGAAGGAGGAGAGCAGCCTGAGGAGTGCTGGAGGCCCTTCTTATCAGGTTGCTCTCCTCCTTCCTGTCCAGGTCTCATGCTAAGTGCCTTTTCTCCCGCGAGACATCTCGTGGGAGAAGAAGCACTTGGCGCGAGGCCTGGACAGGAAGAAGGAGAGCGGCCTGAGGAGCACCGGAGGCCCTTCTGATCAGGCCGCTCTCCTCCTTCCTGTCAAGGTCTCGCGCAAAGTGCCTCTTCTCCCGAGGCATGGACAGGAAGAAGGAGAGCGGCCTGAGAAGCGCCTGGTTTGGGGAGTCGTCTTAAACAGCGAGTATATCCCCAACTCTCAATTTGGTTGCTAAAATTGGGGGGTCGTCTTATATCCCCAGTCATTTTATACCCCGGAATATACGGTACTTACTTATTTACTGCATTTCTATGCTGCCTTTCTCAGCCCGAAGGCAACTCAAAGCGGCTTACGCTGGCGCAATTCAATGCCACAATGAACATAAACAACATTTAAACAAAATTAAAAACAATTAACACGCATTTTTAAAAAACCCTATAAAAATATTTAAAGCATAATATTTATTTATTTATTTGAGATATTTGCAGGCAAGGATATAACATCTACCAGTATGTCTTGGCCTCCCCATTGCCCACATTTTGCTGCAGGACAGCTTCCCCATTTTTTCCAGACATTTTCTTGCTCATCTTCCATTTGTTCTGGTGCGGATGATAATTATCCTTTATTCACCGCTGCCACCGCTTTTGTTCTCCGGAGCCAAATCGGTTCTCTTCTGTGTCTTATGTTCTTTTCCCTCTCCTCTTACGTTCCATCATCATCATTACTTATTTGATTTAGCATGTTTTGTGGCTTCCTATGTGATTTTCCCTTCCTTCCTTGCATGCGTTTTGTTTGGTGGTGGGAATGGCTTCGTAATTCATAATGCCATACGTAGACGACCTAATGATGTTCACCCTGGAGGGAGGTGGGTAAAACCTATATTTCAGAATAGCAGATGGGGATTCGGTGCTCGACACATGTTTTTCCGGACTCCCAGCATTTCAATATCTGAGCGAGGCAAGAATGCTGGGACTCGCAGTCCAACTCTGTTTGGTCACAGAAATCCCAACTACTACTACTAATAATAATATATTATAATTATATATTTATATTACTAATAATATGACTTGTAATATTATTACAATAATATTACAATATAATAATAGTATAATAATAATACAATATAATGGTATAGTACAATATAGTAATATTTGATACTGATATTGTACTATGTTAATAATATAATATATCTATATAAATAAAAATGTAATGTTCGTTTGTGGGACTAACATAACTCAAAAATTACTGGATGAATTGATGCCGAATTTGGACACAAGACACCTAACAACCCAATGTATGTATGTCCTTCACTCAAAAAATTGACTTTGTCATTTGGGAGTTGTGGTTGTTGGGATTTATAGTTCATCTGCAATCAAAGAGCATTCTGAACTCGATCAATGATGGAATTGAACCAAACGTGGCATACAGGACTCCCATGACCAACAGAAAACACTAGAAGGGTTGATGGGCATTGACCTTCAGTTTGGGAGTTGTAGTTCACCTACATCCAGAGAGCACTGTAGCCTCAAACAATGATGGATCTGGACCAAACTCGGCACAGATATTCCATATGCCCAATTATGAACACAGATGGAGTTTGGGGGAAATAGTCCTTGACATTTGGGAGTTGTAGTTGCTGGGATTTATAGTTCACCTACAATCAAAGAGCATTCTGAACTCGACCAGTGATGGAATTGAACCAAACATGGCATACAGGACTCTCATGACCAACAGAAACACTAGAAGGGTTTGGTGGGCATTGACCTTGAGTTTGGGAGTTAGAGTTCACCTAAATCCAAAGAGCACTGTGGACCCAAACAATGATGGATCTGGACCAAACTTGGCACTAATATGCCATATGCCCAAATATGAACATGGATGGAGTTTGGGAGAAATAGATCTTGACATTTGGGAGTCGTAGTTACTGGGATTTATAGTTCACCTACAATCAAAGAGCATTCTGAACCCCACCAACAACAGAATTGGGGCAAATTTCCCACACAGAACCCCCATGACTAATAGAAAATACTTAAGGCCATCCAGTCCAACTCCCTTCACCAGGACAAGAAAACGTAAACAAAGAGTCATCCAGCTATAGATTTAGATATGTATTATTCACACACACACAAAGATATAGTATCATAGATGTGAAAGGGACCCCTAAAGAAGGACAATTATATGTTACATATCCCAGAGTAGGCAAACCAGAAAATCTCCACATCAACACTGACAAAAAAAAACCCAAGAAGAAATACTATTTACCCACAAGCATAAAGAAATTACATATATTAGTAACCAACACTTTCTCATTACTTTATTTTCCAGATCACCAAACTGGGTCACAGCAACGCGTGGCAGGGAACGGCTAGTTATATATATTCATACATTTATATTACATGTAATATTACTAATAATATGACATGTAATATTATTACAATAATATTACAATATAATATATTGTAATAATACAATATAATGGTATAGTACAATATAGTAATATTTAGTACTGATATTGTACGATGCTAATAATATAATATATTGTATTATATGTAAGCTGCTCTGAGTCCCCTTCAGGGTGAGAAGGGCGGCATATAAATGCCGTAAATATATATATATAATCCTTGAGTATGTATTCCAGAATCATAGAAGTCTTAAGGATTTCCATGAGTGATACTGAAATTGTACTATGCTAATAATATAATATATTGTATGTATGTATGTATATATATCTCTTGCAAGCCACTTTGAGTCCCCTCCAGGGTGAGAAGGAAGGCATATAAATGTCGCAAATAAATAAATAGAAAAACAAAGTTTGGGTTCAGTGGAAAATGGGTATTTTTTTCACCCCTGAATGTGTTAACAGTGAGGCAAAGTAATGAAAAAATCAGTTTATTGGTGCAATTTTTTAATTAGGCCAAGTTCAAAGGTAAGGATAGAACAAATATTCAAAAAAGTGGGTGAAAATCCTTATTCTTGAGTGTAAGGAAATTGATAAGAAGAATCTGTACTGATTCTAATTTTTGCTGATCTGTGCAAAATCTTTATGTGGTTCTTCTTGTTGGAAAAAATACAAAATATTTTTTTGAATTTTGATTGTGAACCTCCATTTTTTGAAAACAAAGGATACGATTCGGTCTGTGTTGCTCTCGTCTGATTGAAAAGTATCAGCCAATTCTGAACTATTTGGACTTCGAAAAATCTTTCTTAGCTCCTTGACTCCCTCTGCCGGTAGCTCTGCATTTTTGAGGAAGGAAAGGAAAGGAAAAGCAAAGAATGAAGTGACTTTTGCTGGAGTTTTCTTGGAGATGAACCAACTTCTTTTGAATGCAGAGCAGAATGATAATAATCTAGTCTAGCAACACACAATCAAAACCCTCCTGGCAGATAGGAGTCCAGCCTCTGCTCATCCATAGTGGTCTCGGGATAAGATGGAAAGCTGGGTTAATGGCTTAATGTGCGGATTGGTCCTTTTCATGGGTGTCCTGTACCCCTTAATCTCAACCAACGTGGAGGTCCGACTACATAAATTTATTGTCGAAGGGTTTAATGGCTGCAATCATAGAATCATAGAATCAAAGAGTTGGAAGAGACCTCATGGGCCATCCAGTCCAACCCCTGCCAAGAAGCAGGAATATTGCATTCAAATCACCCCTGACAGATGGCCATCCAGCCTCTGCTTAAAAGCTTCCAAAGAAGAAGCCTCCACCACACTCCGGGGCAGAGAGTTCCACTGCTGAACGGCTCTCACAGTCACTGGGGTGTTGTGTGGTTTCTCGTGTTCTTGCAGCATTTTCTACTGAATGCATCTCCCCTTATGAACCATCTAGGACCTTAAGATCGTCTGGGGAAGTCCTGCTCTCGTTACCGCCTTCGTCACAAGTACGTTTGGCGGAGACGAGAGACAGGGCCTTCTCGATGGTGGCCCTTCAGCTGTGGAACGTCCTCTCTATAGATATTAGATTGGCCCCGTTCCTTTTAACATACCGGAAAAAAAGTCAAAACGTGGCTTTTTGAAACAAGCGTTTGCAAATGCAGAGTAACTGACACAGGAAAATGGAACGACTAGACACTTGAGTTTTTAACAAGGAGACACGATGAATTTATATTTTATTAATCTGTTTAGTTTTTTATTATATGTTATGTTTTTAATTGTATTTATGACATGATAAGCATTGAATTTTGCCCTTGAGTCGCCTACGAGCTGAGAAACACGGTATACAAATACAGTAAATAAATAAATAAATGCAGGCGAAATGTCAGGAGAAAATGCTGCTATAACACGGCCATACATCTCGGAAACCACACAACACCCCACTGTACATAAATTAGCGCTGATCTCTTTATTCCTGCCTCTGCCTTGAATATAAGTGACGCAACCACCAACATGGCTTCTTTGCAGCCCGTCCGCCTGGCCCCCGAGCGCGAGTTCATCAAGTCGCTGATGGCCATCGGGAAGCGCCTGACCACGCTGCCCACCAAAGAGCAGAAGACCCAGCGCCTCATCTCCGAGCTCTCGCTGCTCAACCACAAGCTGCCGGCCCGCGTCTGGCTGCCCACCGCCGGCTTCGACCACCACGTGGTGCGGGTCCCGCACACCCAGGCCGTTGTGCTCAATTCCAAGGACAAGGTAAGAAGGGAGAAGGGGAGCCGGTTGTGCCTCGTCTTGTCCTTTTTCTTCTTTAATGTTGTTTATATTGATGCTCAAGAGTGGTGCTTCCTGAATTCTGCTCCTCCAGACATTAGGGCAGCCGTTCAGCTGCTTTGGCTACTGATCCGGCATTCTGGAAGCCCAAAGACCAGAATTTTGGGAATATACAAATAAATAAATGAATATATTCACATCAAATAAATAAATACAATTGCTAGAATATACAGCTCCTTGCTGGAGAGAAAAAATAGGGTATAAATAAATATTAATAATGATAATGATAATAATAATAATAATAATAATAATAATAGTGTTCGACTTGTGATTTTGTGATACGAAATCCAGCATATAGATCTCGTTTGCTGTGACATACTGTGCTTTTGTGTCAATAATAATAATAATAATAATAATCCTAGACACTTGAGAAGTGTTTGACGTGTGACCGCAAACAAGATCACTTTGTTGGCTGTTGAATTGAATCTAGCATATAGATGTGTTTCTAATAATAATAATAATAGTAATAATAATAATAATACAGTGTTCGATTTGTGATTTTGTGATACGAAATCCAGCATATAGATCTCGTTTGCTGTGACATACTGTGCTTTTCTGTCAATAATAATAATAATAATAATAATAATAATAATAATAATAATCCTAGACACTTGGGAAGTGTTTGACGTGTGATCCAATTCCACAGCCAGCATAGTGATCTTGTTTGTGGTGTACTAATCTTGTAGTATTTCTAATAATAGTAATAATAATAATACAGTGTTCAACTTGTGATTTTGTGATACAAAATCCAGCATATAGATCTCATTTGCTGTGACATACTGTGGTTTTGTGTCAGTAAAATAATAATAATAATAATAATAATAATAATAATAATAATCCTAGACACTTGGGACGTGTTTGACGTGTGATCCAATTCCACAGCCAGCAGAGTGATCTTGTTTGCTATGTACTAATTTTGTTGTGTTTCTAATAATAATAATAATAATAATAATAATAATAATAATACAGTGTTCGACTTGTGATTTTGTGATACGAAATCCAGCATATAGATCTTGTTTGCTACGACATGCTATGTTTTTGTGTCAGTAAAATAATAATAATAATAATAATAATACAGTCCTAGACCAGTGATGGGCATCCTTTTGAACTTGGTGTGTCAAAATTTGCCAAAAACCTGACCATACCTTGGGTGGGGTGTCAACTTCGAGAAAAAAATAATTTTGCAATATTTATAGTTTAAATAAAAAAAATGTATATTCCATGCTGAGTTATGAACAAGGCTCAAACATGCAGATGTTAAATTTGTAGAGCCTTTTATAAATTTAAGGATGGAATTAGATTGCCTCTTATAAGGTGTACTTCTCTGTATGCGGCCGCATGTGGCCGCGTGTCATCAAAAATAGCCATGTGTGTCAGTGCTGACACGTGTGTCATAGGTTCACCATCATGGTCCTAGACGCTTGGGAAGTGTTCGACTTGTGATTTTGTGATACGAAATCCAGCATAGATCTCGTTTGCTGTGACGTACTGTGCTTTTGTGTCAGTAAAATAATAATAATAATAATAATAATAATAATAATAATAATAATCCTAGACACTTGGGAAGTGTTTGACGTGTGATCCAATTCAACAGCCAGCATATAACAATAATAATAAAAACAAGAGTGATCTTGTTTGCGGTGTACTAATCTTGTTGTGTTTCTAATAATAATAATAATAATAATAATAATAATAATAATAATACAGTGTTCAACTAGTGATTTTGTGATACAAAATCCAGCATATAGATCTCATTTGCAGTGACATACTGTGTTTTGTGTGTTAAGAAATAATAATAATAATAATAATAATAATAATAATAATAATTGTGTTGGCCATGTGTTCTACTCCCAAAACTTTGTTTTTGTGGCTGCCACAGAATTGGTTGAAACTCGATGAGAAAGTCATTGCTTTACGGTGTTTCCATGTTTTTATTGTCATGGTCATCCCTTTGAATTCGGACCAGAAGTGAATTGGCAGCCGTATCTCTTCCTCTTCCTCTTCACCTCAGGCTCCTTACCTAATCTACGTGGAAGTACTTGAATGTGAAAACTTCGACACCACTAACGTTCCGGCCCGAATCCCGGAGAACCGCATCCGAAGCACCCGCTCGGTGGAGAACCTTCCAGAGTGCGGGATCACCCACGAACAGCGGGCTAGCAGCTTCACCACTGTGCCCAACTACGACAACGACGATGAGGCCTGGTCCGTGGATGACATTGGTGAACTGCAAGTGGAGGTAACCCCCACCATAAATAATAGTATTTATTATTTATTTATTTACGACATTTATATGCCACCCTTCTCACCCCAAAGGGGGCTCAGAGTGGCTTACAAGTTATATGTAAATGCAATATATTATATTAGCATAGCACAATATTAGTAACATACATTCCCATATAGTACTACACCAGTATACTGTAATATTATTAGTAATATTACATGAAATATATAATTGTTATATTGTATTATTATTATATTGTATTACATTATAATATTATTATCAATATTATATGTGTATACAATATATTATTGTCGACGGCTTTCATGGCCGGAATCACTGGGTTGTTGTAGGTTTTTTCGGGCTATATCGCCATGTTACAAATACATATACATGTTGTCAAAATTACAACAGCAAAACAACAGAGAGGAAACAATCTGGGACGTCTAATCACCTCTCAACAAAAGATTGGTCCAGGCACTGCCAGGCCATCAAATGCTAAAGAGTCCTTTGTCCCACCCAGGTAATTCCACAGATATATAAACCCTTTTTCCTAGTTCCAACAGACCTCACTACCTCCGAGGATGCTTGCCATAGATGCGGGTGAAATGTCAGGAGAGAATGCCTCTGGACCATGGCCATACAGCCCGAAAAAACCTACAACAACCCACAATATATTATATTAGCACAGCACAATAATATTATATTACTATATTGTACTATACCACTATACTGTAATATTATTAGTAATATTACATGTAATATAAAAAAATATAATTCTTTTATTTTTAATATTATATTGTATTACATTAATTATTAATGTATTACATGTAGTAGTAATAATAATAATGATATATAACACATTTTGAAAAATGTTCTATCTCTGCGTTGCAGTGAGTTGTCCGGGCTGTTTGGTCTTGTTCCAGTATCATTCTTCTTCTGACGTTTTGCCCAACGTCAGAAGCTGGGCCTAACAGCAGGAGCTCACCATGCTCCCTGGATTCGAACTGCTGACTTCCGGTCAGCAAGTTCAGCAGCTCAATGGTTTGACCTGCTGCATCACTGGGGGCTCACTGCTAACCTATACACTATCCGGGCTGTATGGCAACGTTACAGAAGCATTCCCACACCTATGTCAGGCATCCTCAGAAGTTGTGAGGTCTGTTGGAAACTAGGAAAGTGGGGTTTATATATATCCCTGTGGAATAATGTCCAGAGTGGGAGAAAGAACTCTCATCTGCTTGAGGCAAGTGTGAATGTTGTAGTTGGCCAGCTTGATTAGCATCAAATAGACTTGCAGCTTCAAAGCCTGGCTGGTTGCTGCTTGGGGGAATTCTAAAATCAGGACAGTAAAGAAATAATAAAAAAATTATAAAGTAATACAATAAAATACTACTAATAATAATACAATATTATAATTATATATATTTATATTACATATAATATTACTAATTATAGTACAATACAATGGTATAGTACAATATGGTAGTATATAATACTGATATTGTCCTATGCTAATAATATTCTGTCAAGGGCTCTTCCTAAAAGTGAAGGCGTTCTTCCATTTTCCCTGAACATCTTTCCCTTTTTTTTTTGTCTCTCCCAGCTCCCCGAAATGCACACCAACAGCTGTGACAACATTTCCCAATTCTCCGTGGACAGCATTACGAGCCAAGAGAGCAAAGAGCCGGTCTTCATTGCTGCGGGGGATATCAGGTGAGCCGACCTAGAAGAAAGGTGCCTAACTTGACCATAATAATAATAATAATAATAATAATAATAATAATAATAATAATAATAATAAACCACACAATCCTAGACGCTTGGGAAGTGTCTGACTTGTGATTTTGTGATACGAAATCCAGCATAGATCTCATTTGCTGTGACATACTGTGGTTTTGTGTCAATAATAATAATAATAATAATACATCACACAGTCCTAGACGCTTGGGAAGTGTTCGACTTGTGATTTTGTGTTACGAAATCCAGCATAGAGATCTCGTTTGCTGTGACATACTGTGCTTTTGTGTCAGTATAATAATAATAATAATAATAATAATAATAATAATAATACATCACTCAGTCCTAGATGCTTGGGAAGTGTTCGACTTGTGATTTTGTGATACGAAATCCAGCATATAGATCTTGTTTGCTGTGACATAACTGTGTTTTTGTATCAGTAAAATAATAATAATAATAATACATCACACAGTCCTAGACACTTGGGAAGTGTTCAACTTGTGATTTTGTGATACGAAATCCAACATATAGATTTTGTTTGCTGTGACATGCTGTGTTTTTGTTTCAGTAAAATAATAATAATAATAATAATAATAATAATAATAATAATACAGTCCTAGATGCTTGGGAAGTGTTCAACTTGTGATTTTGTGATACGAAATCCAGCATATGATCTCTTCTGTGACATACTGTGTTTTTGTCAGTATAATAATAATAATAATAATAATAATAATACACAGTCCTAGCGCTTGGGAAGTGTTCGAATTGTGATTTTGTGATACGAAATCCAGCATATAGATCTTGTTTGCTGTGGACATATTGTTTTTGTCAGTAAAATAATAATAATAATAATAATAATAATAATACAGTCCTAGACGCTTGGGAAGCGTTTGACTTGTGATTTTGTGATACAAATCCAGCGTATAGATTTCATTTGCTGTGACATAACTGTGTTTTTGTGTCAGTAAAATAATAATAATAATAATAATAATAATAATACAGTCCTAGATGCTTGGGAAGTGTTTGAATGTTTCAATTGACCACCTTCATTATCATTTGATGGCCTGGCAGTGCCTGGGGCAATCTTTTGTTGAGAGTTTAAACATTCACACCCAGCTCCAGCAGACAAGATTCCTTTGTCCCACCCTGGTCATTCCACAGATATATAAACCCCCTTTTTCCTAGTTCCAACAGACCTCACTACCTCTGAGGATGCTTATTTATTTATTTATTTATTTATTTCGCGTATTTCTACCCCGCCCTTCTCAACCCCCGAGGGGGGACTCAGGTTGGCTTACAAAAGGCACAATTCGATACCAGCATAAACAATAAGATAAAAACATGTAGAACAACAATTATAACAATAACCAACCAAAGAGAAACCAGAATATTATAACAATAACAATTTTAGCCATTAAAACAATCAAATTATTCATCACCATCTATAAAACCAATAAAATGCTCAACGTTCACCATCTCAAGAGTCCATAAATTCATTCCACATTGTCAGATACCATCAATTCTAGTTGTCATTGTCCTTCATTTAACTGCCAGATTGCCCAAAGGCCTGGTCCCACATCCATGTTTTTAATTTCCTTCTAAAGGAGAGGAGGGATGTCGATGACCTAATTTCCCCGGGGAGCGAATTCCACAAGCTAGGGGCCACCACTGAGAAGGCCCTGCTCCTCGTCCCCACCAATCTCACTTGTGATAGAGGTGGGGTCGAGAGCAGGGCCTCCCCAGAAGACCTCAAACTCCAAGGTGGGACGTAGAGGGAGATGCGTTCGGACAGGTACGCTGGGCCGGAACCATATAGGGTTTTGTAGGATGCTTGCCATAGATGCAGGCGAAACGTCAAGAGAGAATGCCTCTAGACCATGGCCATATAGCCCAAAAAAACCTACAACAACCCAATAATAATAAAGTAAAAGAATGGAAATGTAATAATAACAGTAATAATAGAGTAAAATAATAAATGTAATTAATAATAATAATAATAATAATAATAATAATAATAAAGTAATGGAAATGTAATAATAATAAATAGAGTAAAATAATACATGTAATAATAATAGAATAAAGTAATGGAAATGTAGTAGTAATAATAATAATAATAATAATAATAATAAAGTAATGGAAATGTAATAATAATAATAAATAGAGTAAAATAATACATGTAATAATAATAGAATAAAGTAATGGAAATGTAGTAGTAATAATAATAATAATAATAATGTAATCATAATAGTAAAAAAGTCAAATAATAAATGTAATCATAATATCATAATCATTATTTATACCCTGCCACCATCTCCCCAAGGGACTCAGAGCGGCTTACATAAGGCCAAGCCCAACAACACATCAATAAAAACAAAAAGCAATAAACAAAACAAGCTTCAACAGGCAAGAGTTCTTTCCCACCCTGGTCATTCCACAGATATATAAACCTTTTTTCCTAATTCCAACAGACCTCACTACCTCTGAGGATGCTTGCCATAGATGCAGGCGAAACGTCAGGAGAAAAATTGCCTCCAGAACATGGCCATATAGCCCGGAAAAACCTACAACAACCCAGTGATTCCAGCCATGAAAGCCTTCGACAATACATTGAACCCAGTGAACTCTTCTCCAGTGGCTCCACTTGTCTGAAACTCTCCCAACTTTTCCCCCAGGCGACGCCTCTCCGAGCAGCTTGCCCACACTCCAACGACGTTCAAGAGGGACCCTGAGGACCCATCGGCCGTGGCCCTGAAGGAGCCCTGGCAGGAGAAAGTCAGGTAGAGATCCAGCACCCGTGGGCCAAGTTAGAGGCAGGCTGGAGATGGGTCCTGAAGCCCCAGAGTACCAGATGGGAGACAGAGACAGAAGAGAGGGGCACTATGATCCACGTCCAGCTCGAGATCCATGATCGAACTCTCATTTTTCTCCCCACAGGAGGATCCGGGAGGGCTCTCCGTACGGCCACCTGCCCAACTGGCGCCTGCTTTCTGTCATCGTGAAATGCGGCGATGATCTCCGGCAAGAGCTGCTGGCTTTCCAAGTTCTGAAACAGCTTCAGGTATGAGAGTGATGCTCTGCAGGCAGTCAGCAAGTTGAGCAGCTCAGCGATTTAGCCCACTGCACCACTGGGAGCTACAACACAAAGCATATAAACATTAAAATCAAATCAAACACAGGACTTATATAAAATACACAGTTAAAACCGATACAACCATTAACAAACCTGTTAAACGACCGTATATACTTGAGTATAAGCCGACCCAAATATAAGCCAAGGCACCTAATTTTACCACAGAAAACTGGGAAACGGTATTGACTCAAGTATAAGCCAAGGGTGAGAAATGCAGCAGCTACGGGTAAATTTAAATATAAAAATAGATACAAATAAAATGACTTTAATTGAGGTATCAGTAGGTTAAATGTTTTTGAATATTTACATAAAACCGTAATTTAATATAAGACTGTCCAACTCTGATTAAGTCATTATTCTCACCTTCTTCCATGTAAATGTGTTTATGTATCCTTCTAATAATAATAGAGTAAAATAATAAATTATTATCATCATTATATCATTACTATTATTATTGAAATATTATTATTTTATTAGTATTGGAATTATGAGGAAGGTCTGGATGACTTTTGGGGTCTCCTTTCAATTATTATTATTATTATTTATTGGAATTATGAGGAAGGTCTGGATGACCTTTGGGGTCCCCTTCTGACTTATTATCATCATCATATCATAACTAATATTATTGAATTATTATTATTATTATTATTATTATTATTATTATTATTATTGGCTTGATGAATGCAAAGCTGGGGTGAAAATTGCTGGAAGAAACATTAACAATCTCAGATATGCAGATGACACCACTCTGATGGCCGAAAGCGAGGAGGAGCTGAGGAGCCTTAATCAAGGTGAAAGAAGAAAGCGCAAAAGCCGGGTTGCAGCTAAACATCAAAAAAACCAAGATTATGGCAACAAGAATGATTGACAACTGGAAAATAGAGGGAGAAACCGTGGAGGCCGTGACAGACTTTGTATTTCTAGGCTCAAAGAGTGTCCAGGAAATCAGGAGACGCTTCCTTCTTGGGAGGAGAGCAATGTCCAGTCTCGATAAAATAGTAAAGAGTAGAGACATCAGACTGGCAACCAAGATCCATTGCCTAGTCAAAGCCATGGTCTTCCCTGTAGTAGTCACCTACGGATGTGAGAGCTGGACCTTAGGGAAGGCTGAGCGAAGGAAGAGAGATGCTTTTGAGCTGTGGTGTTGGAGGAAAGTGCTGAGAGTGCCTTGGACTGCGAGAAGATCCAACCAGTCCATCCTCCAGGAAATAAAGCCCGACTGCGCACTGGAGGGAAAGATACTAGAGACAAAGTTGAAGTACTTTGGCCACATCATGAGGAGACAGGAAAGCCTAGAGAAGACAATTATGCTGGGGAAAGTGGAAGGCAAAAGGAAGAGGGGCCGACCAAGGGCAAGATGGATGGATGGCATCCTTGAAGTGACTGCTGACCTTGAAGGAGCTGGGGGTGGTGATGGCCGACAGGGAGCTCTGGCGTGGGCTGGTCCATGAGGTCACGAAATGTAATAAAATGTAATAAAAATAATAATAGAGTAAAATAGTGGAAATGTAAAAATGACAAAAATAGAGTGAAATAATATATGTAATAATAACAATAATAAATAGAGTATAACAATAATAGAGTATAATAACAATAACAGAGTAAAATATTGTAAATGTAATAATAACAATAGAGTGAAATAATAAATGTACTACATGTAAGAATAACAATACTAAAATCGAGTAAAATAATAATAGCCATAATAATGATTAAGTCATTATTCTAACCTTCTTCCATTAAAATGTGCTTATGTATCCTTCCAATAATAATAAGTAAAATAATAAATGTAATTATTATTATTATTACATTTATTATTTTACTTATTATTATAACAATATAGAGTATTGTATATAATACTCTATATAATAACAATATAGAACATTTATTATTATAATAACAATAATAGAGTAAAATATTGTAAATGTAATAATAACAATAATAGAGTGAAATAATAAATGTAATAATAATAAGTAAAATAATACATAAAATACATGTAATAACAATACTAAATAGAGTAAAATAATAATAGCAATAATAGAGTAATGATTAAGTCATTATTCTAACCTTCTTCCATGAAAATGCGCTTATGTATCCTTCCAATAATAAAGTAGAGTAAGAAATAAATGTACGGTAATAATAATAGAGTAAAATAATAAATGTAATAATAATAATAATAATAATAAAGTAATATACTCGAGTCAGCACATTTTCCCAGTTTCCCAGGGAGATGCAGAAGTGGAGTGACTACTGTGATTCATTCATTCATTTGTCCTTCCTTCCTTCCATTCATTCATTCTTTCTTTCCTTCCTTTCCTCCTCGGCCTCTTCTCTATTGGCAGTCCATCTGGGAGCAGGAGCGCGTCCCGCTTTGGATCAAGCCCTACAAGATCCTGGTCATCTCGGCCGACAGCGGCATGATTGAGCCCGTGGTCAACGCCGTCTCCATCCATCAGGTGAAGAAGCAGTCGCAGCTCTCCCTCCTGGACTACTTCCTCCAGGAACATGGCAACTACACCACCGAAGCCTTCCTCACCGCCCAGCGCAACTTTGTCCAGAGCTGTGCCGGATATTGCTTGGTCTGCTACCTGCTCCAGGTCAAGGACAGGTGAGAAAGAGAGAGAGAGAGAGAGAGAGAAAGGCTTTCGGCCTGTTTGTAAAGATGGGGCCGGAGAACTAAGCAGGCCAGGTAGGAAGTGATATCACATCACCCGTAGATCTCGGTTGGAAGCCAGTGAGCTCAACTAGCATGTTTGCAGGATGTTCCCATCTTTTTGGCTATTTTAAAGTCAAATATCATGCCAGCCACATCATCTTGGTGGTGTCTATGGACAACGCTGGCTCTTCAGCTTAGAAATGGAGATGAGCACCATCCCCAGAGTTGGACATGAATGGACTTAACGTCAGGGGAAAACCTTTACCTTTACCTATCGCCTGAAAATCAATGTTGGGGTTGGGGATTTTTTTGTTGCTTTTTTCTGGAATCACAAACTGGAAGCATGTTAAGTAGCTTGTATATGAGTGTGCATTTTATAGATATTTACTTATGTGTGTTTGTGTGCGCGCACATATATATTTACCCGGAGCCTCCAGTGGCGCAGTTAAAGCGCTGACCTGCTGAACTTGCTGACTGAAAGTTCGCAGGTTCGAATCCGGGGAGCTGGCTGAGCTCCCACTGTTAGCCTCAGCTTCTGGTCGAAGTGGTCTCAGTAAGTGAGTGAAGTGATCATGGGGGCTCTGTTTGCCAAGTTTGGTCTTGATCAGTCATTGGATGAGGGTGGCAGTGGTCTCAGTAAGTGAGTGAAGCTACTGCAAGTCCCATCATCCATGGTCAATCCTCCTCCAAACAGTACCAGGATATAAAGTGGATCATGGGGGCTCTGTGTGCCAAGTTTGGTCTTGATCAGTCATTGGAAGAGGGTGGCAGTGGTCTCAGGAAGTGAGTGAAGGTACTGCAAGTCTCATCATCCATGGTCAGTCCTCCTCCAAACAGTACCAGGATGTAGAGTGGGTCATGAGGGCTCTGTGTGCCAAGTTTGGTCTTGATCAGTCATTGGATGAGGGTGGCAGTGATCTCAGTAAGTGAGTGAAGGTACTGCAAGTCCCATCATCCATGATCAACTTCCTCCAAACTGTACCAGGATGTAGAGTGGATCATGGGGGCTCTGTGTGCCAAGTTGGGGCTTGATCAGTCATTGGATGAGGGTGGCAGTGGTCTCAGGAAGTGAGTGAAGGCATACACACACACTCACACACACACACACACACACACACATATATATACAGTATATACCAGGAGCCTCTGGTGGTGCAGTAGGTTAAATTGCTGAGCTGCTGAAGTTGCTGACCGAAAGGTCGCAGGTTCGAATGCAGGGAGGGGCGTGAGCTCCTGCTGTTAGCCCCAGCTTCTGCCAACCTAGCAGTTTGAAACCATACAAATGTGAGTAGATCCAGCGGGAAGGTAAGGGCGCTCCATGCAGTCATGCCGGCCATATGACCTTGGAGGTGTCTATGGACAACGCCGGCTCTTTGGCTTAGAAATGGGGGTGAGCACCACAACCCAGAGACGGACACGACTGGACTTAATGTCAAGGGGGAAAAAAACGAAAGAAAGGATGAACATGGAATGGCTAGATCAGCGGTTCTCAACCTGGGGGTTGTTGGGCCATTTTCGGGGGGTCGTGAAGCAGCCTTGGTTGGCCCCGCCCCTGCCAAAATGGCTGCCGACCCTTGCAAAATAAGTCTACCGTAAATAATGACCTAGATTGGAAACTTCTGCCACTTTGGCTTCCAAAAATTCCCCAAGAAATGCTCATTCTTTCTCCCTTTCTGCTTCTTCTCTCCCTGAAACAGGCACAACGGCAACATCTTACTAGATGCCGAGGGGCACATCATCCACATTGACTTCGGCTTCATCCTCTCCAGCTCCCCCCGGAATTTGGGCTTTGAGACCTCGGCTTTCAAGCTCACCTCCGAGTTTGTGGACGTGAGTTTGGGGTACATACCACTGGCCTATTATCCCTTTCTTCCGCCTCCCCTCGTTCTTATCCTTCCTCCTCGGCTTGTTTTCCCAGGTCATGGGCGGCCTGGACGGCGACATGTTCAACTACTACAAAATGCTCATGCTGCAAGGCCTCATCGCGGCACGGAAGCACATGGACAAAGTTGTACAGATTGTGGAAATCATGCAACAAGGTACCGAAGGTTTGGGGGTTGTCTTTTTCGGGAGGAAGAGGGAGTGCATCTGAGGCACCTTCTGCAAAAACATACCCAAAATGAATAGGTTTCCCCCACTTTCTCTCCTAAGTATATTCCCCCACAGAATCCCCCCCAAAAGTGCCAAGGATTTGTAGAGACTGGCTCAAGACCAAAGGGCTATATAGATTTGCAGGCTTGGGTACCCAACTTTATTAGAAGAAGTCATTTTATAATAATAATAATAATAATAATAATAATAATAATAATAATAATAATAATAATAAACAAGCATGATAATAAAATAATAATAATAGAGTAAAATAATGGAAATGTAATAACAATAGAGTGAAATCATACATGTAATAATAATAATAAGTAAAATAATAAATGTAATAATAACAATAGTAGATTATAATAACAATAATAGAGTGAAATATTGTAAATGCAATGATAATAAGTAAAATAATAAATGTAATAATAACAATAGTAGAGTATAATAACAATAATAGAGTAAAATATTGTAAATGTAATGATAAGTAAAATAAGTTTGCTGTGGACTCATCTTGTTGTGTTTCAAATAAGAATAATAATATAACAAACAATAATAATAAAAACAAGAGTGATCTTATTTTTTGTAGACTCATCTTGTGTTTCAAATAATAATAATAATAATAATAATAATAATAATAATAATAATAATAATAATAATAAAAAACAAGAGTGATCGTGTTTGCTATGGATTCATCTTGTTGTGTTTCTAATAATAATAATAATAATAATAATAATAATAATAATAATAATAAAACAATAATAAAAACAAGCGTGATCTTATTTGCTGTGGACTCATCTTGTATTTCAAATAATAATAATATAACAATAATAATAAAAACAAGCGTGATCTTATTTGCTGTGGACTCATCTTGTTGTGTTTTAAATAATAATAATAATAATAATAATAATAATAATATAACAATAATAATAAAAACAAGATTGATCTTGTTTGCTATGGACTCATCTTGTGTTTCAAATAATAATAATAATAATATAACAAACAACAATAATAAAAACAAGAGTGATCTTGTTTGCTGTGGACTCATCTTGTTGTTTCAAATAATAATAATAATATAACAATAATAATAAAAACAAGAGTGATCTTGTTTGCTGTGGACTCTTCTTGTTTTATTTCAAATAATAATAACAATAGTAATAATAATAATAATAATAATAATAATAATAATAATCTGGCACAAGCTAGTCAAGGTGGTCCCGGTGGTGATGGGCACACTGGGTGCAGTGCCTCAAGACCTTGGCCTGCACTTAAACACAATCGGCGCTGACAAAATTACCAGGAAATTATTCAGGAAATTCTTCCTCGTGTTTGGGTGGAATCTCCTTTCCTGCCATTTGATCCCCTTGCCCCACTTTGGGACCCTCCCGACGGTGTCGAAGGGCTCCCGACATCGCAGTGTATAGAAGTAACCAGCGGTTGTGTCAGTTTGTCCTTTAGGTTGCCAGCGGTGCTTAGGAGAGACGCAGGCGAGTCAGAGTCCTACAGTAGCGCAGGCCACCTGTGAGTGTCGAGAGCAGCGAGATCAGATAAGTGAGCCAGTCCGTGCAAAAAGTTACGCCCTTCCTTCCTCTTTTAAGCAGACCAGAGAAGGGAAGCAACATAATGGCACGCCAGTCAGACAGTATTCAATTCAATAATTGAAAGGGAGGGACCCCAAGGGCCATTTAGTCCACCGGAAGATACAATCCAAGCCCTCCCAACATATGTCCGGCTCCATTGGACATATCCCACTACGAAACAGCTCTTACTGTCAAGAAGTTCCTCTGAATGTTTTGGTGGAATAGTATTTCCTGCAATTTGAATCCTTGGTGTAATTGTGTCTCCAGAGCAGTAGAAAATGATAATAATAATAATAATAATAATAATAATAATAATTATTATTATTATTATTATTATTATTATTATTATTTCCTGTCGTAGTCAACTGTGAATCGCACATTTGGTATCTCTGCGCCTGCGCAGTACAGCTTTCGGAAGCTTCTAGAAAATAAAAATAGACATTTTACCCCTTGCCGCGCCCCGCCCACTCCCCTGAGTATATATATATACCCCATGGGCAGGGCTAGCCACCAGTTCTCTTTATCCGCCGCTTAGCAAGCAGCTTGAGAACCTTCACTCTTCACTTTTATCCCACCACCATCTCCCCAAGGGGACTCATGGCGGTTTACATGAGGTCACGCCAAGCAATACAGGAAAACAGTATAACACAAGAACACAACAGAAAATAATAATAAAATATAATAAGATACAAAAACCAATATAAATAAGGTTTGGTCATTATTATTATTATTATTATTATTATTATTATTATGTTTATTTATAAGCGCCCCCCAGTGATGCAGCGGGTTAAATGGTTGAGCTGCTGAACATGCTGACCAAAGGTTTGGAGGTTTGAATCCGGGGAGCGGGATGAGCTCCTGCTGTTAACCTGAGCTTCTGCCAACCTAGCAGTTCAAAGAAATCTGGGGAGGTTTGATTATTATTATTATTATTATGTTTATTTATAAGGGCCCCCTGGTGGGGCAGCAGGTTAAACCTCTGAGCTACTGAACTTGCTGACCAAACGGTTCGAATCTGGGAAGGTTTCGTTGTCCTCATCATCATCATTATTATTATTATGTTTATTTGTAAGGGCCCCCTGGTGGCGCAGCGAGTTAAACTGCTGAGCTACTGAACTTGCTGACTAAATGGTCAGCAGTTGAATCTGGTGAGGTTTGGTCATTATTATTATTATTATTATTATTATTTATAAGGGCCACCTTGGACGCAGCGGGTTAAACTGCTGGGCTGCTGAACTTGCTGACCAAACGGTCAGTGGTTCGAATCTGGGAAGGTTTGGTTATTATTATTATTATGTTTATTATTATGTTTATTTATAAGAGCCCCCTGGTGGCGCAGCGGGTTAAACTGCTGAGCTACTGAACTTGCTGACCAAATGGTCAGCAGTTTGAATCTGGTGAGGTTTGGTCATTATCATTATTATTATTATGTTTATTTATTAGGGCCGCCTTGGGCGCAGCAGGTTAAATTGCTGAGCTATTGAACTTGCAGACCAAACAGTCAGCGGTTCGAATCCGTGGAGGTTTGGTCATGATCATTATTATTATTATGTTTATTTATAAGGGCCGCCTGGGGTGCAGCAGGTTAAACCGCTGAGCTGCTGAACTTTCTGACCAAAAGTTTGGCAGTTTGAATCTGGGGAGCGGGATGAGCTCCCGCTGTTAACCCCAGCTTCCGCCAACTTAGCAGTTCAAAAACATGCAGTTCGAAAAAATTGGGGAGGTTTGGTCATTATTATTATTATTATGTTTATTTATAAGGACTGCTTGGGGCGCAGCGAGTTAAAAGTTTGACCAAAAATTTGGTGGTTTGAATCTGGGGGACTGGGGTGAGCTGCCGCTGTTAGCCCCAACTTCTGCCAACCTAGCAGTTCGAAAACATGCAGTTCGAAAAAATCTGGGGAGGTTTGATCATTATTATTACTATTATTATTATTATGTTTATTTATAAGGTCCCCCTAGTGGTGCAGTGGGTTAAACTGCTGAGCTGCTGAACTTGCTGACCAAAGGTTTAGAGGTTTGGATCCAGGGAGTGGGATTAACTCCCGCTGTTAACTCCAGCTTCCGCCAACCTACCAGTTCAAAAATGTGCAGTTTGAAAAAATTTGTGGAGGTTTGGTCATTATTTTTATTATTATTATTACTATTATTATTATTATTTATAAGGGCCCCCCTGGTGGCGCAGCGGGTTAAACTGCTGAACTTGCTGACGAAAAAGTTTGGCGATGAGCTCTCGCCATCATCTACCGTTTCTGTGGGTAGGTAATGGCGCTCCATGTAGTCATGCTAGCCACGTGACTTAGGAGGTGTCTATGGACAATGCCGACTCTTCGTCTTTGAAATGGAGATGAGCACCAGAGTCCCAGAGTCGGACTCGACTAGACTTAAAGCAAAGGGGAAACCTTGACTTTTACTAAGACCCTGAACGCGCTTGTCTCTCCGCTCCAGGTTCCCAGCTGCCCTGCTTCCACGGTTCCAGCACCATCCGCAACCTGAAGGAGCGCTTCCACATGAACATGACGGAGGAGCAGCTCCAGCTGCTGGTGGAGCAGATGGTGGACGGCAGCATGCGCTCCATCACCACCAAGCTCTACGACGGCTTCCAGTACCTCACCAACGGCATCATGTGACCAGGCCCTCGCTCCTGTCGCCGCTTCTCCCAAAACGCGGGGCGCGGAGGAGCCTTCCCCGGAGAGAGAGGGGAACCGAAGGGCTCTTGAGGAGCACAAGACGTCCCGGCGGCCATCTTTCCCTCGGATTTCTTTTCAGACACCTGAGGTGGTGGCATTGGGCGTTTCTGGGGGTTGGGGGATGTTGGCCGTGGAAGGAGGAACCTCGAAAACCCTTGGGGAAAAAAACAGAGTGGGACGAGAAACAAAAACGTCTGGCTACTGGCTTGGGAAGTCGCCAGCCGGAATGGATCCGCTGGGAGAAATGAGACAACAAATCCCTCCCTCCCTTCCTCCCAGATCTTTTTATTTCAGTATTATTATACCTCTTCACATTCTCCGGACTCTTTCTCTTCCCTCAGCATCTCACAACATGTTTTCTTGGGGGTCCAGGTGAGATGGGGAGGGAAGGAGGGAGCGAAAAAAGGGAGAGAAAGAAAGAAAGAGAAGAAAGAGATTCGTTCTGGCGCAGGGTCAAGGAATGCCGCTGTTTCTGAGCCTCCGTGTTTCTTACTTCCTTCCCCTCCTCCCCGCTTCCAACCAGCGCATGTGGTGTTTTTTTTCCCCCCATGTGTGTGCATTTTCCGTCAAAACGATTAAATTCCCTCCCCTCCACTGTCTCCACCCCTGTTTAATTTTTTTTTTAATGGCACATTTGACAACACAAGAGGTGGGGAATTTCACGACACATGGGTCCAAATGGATCGAAACGTCACGTCCTTCCGAGAAGCACTGTCGCGACACATTGGGGGGAAAGGACAGTGAGGTTTGGCCACAGAAAAAGCACCCTGGATTTTCCTCTCCCGCCTTTTGTTTCTTGTTTGTGTTGCACGGTTTGCTATGTGGGACAACACTCCGCCTTTGCTCACGGTCCCATTGGTCACCGAAGCTCACCATTTTGTTTGTGTGGTGTGTATGTTGTAGCTATTCACCTGCAGAATTTCCCCCATAAAATTACAAGGTCACTTGTAATTATCCCTACCTTTCACTCTGTTTACCTGCGATTGGTTGAGTAATGATCCCTACTTTCCCCTCCGTTTACATGCGATCGGTTGAGTAATTATCCCTACCTTTCCCTCCATTTACCAGTCGGTTGAATAACAATTACTACTTCCCTCTCCATTCATCTGCTATTGGAATGATCTCTACCTTTCCCTCTGCTTACATGCGATTGGCTGAGTAATGATCCCTACCTTTCCCTCTGTTTACCTGCAATTAGTTGAATAATGATCCCTACCTTTCCCTCTGTTTACCTGCAATTGGTTGAGTAATGATCCCTACCTTTCCCTCTATTTGCCTGCAATCGATTGAACAACAATTCCTACTTCCCTCTCCATTCATCTGCTATTGGAATGATCTCTACTTTTCCCCCCGTTTACCTTCAGTTGGTTGAGTAAGGATCCCTACCTTTCCCTCTGTTTACCTGTGATTGGTTGAATCATGATCCCTACCTTCCCCTCCATTTACCTGCAATTGGTTGAGTAATGATCCCTACCTTTCCCTCAGTTTACCTTCAGTCGGTTGAATAACAATTCCTACCTTGCTCTCCATTCATCTACTATTAGAATGATCTCTACCTTCCCCCTTGTTTACCTTCCGTTGGTTGAATAAGGATCCCTACCTTTCCCTCTGTTTACCTGCCATTGATTGAATAATGATCCCTACCTTTCCCTCTGTTTACCTGCAATTGGTTGAGAAATTATCCTTACCTTTCCCTCTGTTTCCCTGCAATTGGTTGAGTAATTATCCCTACCTTTCACTCTGCTTACCTGCGATTGGTTGAATAATGATCCCTACTTCCTCCTCCATTAGTACACTACCTCCTCTGTTTTCCTGCTATTGATTGAAGAAAGATCCCTACCTTCTCCATTTTCATATGATTGTTTGAGAAACAGTCCCTACCCTTTGTTTTTCTTCAATTGATTGAAGAATGATCCCTTCCTTCTGCTCCATTTTCCTGCAGTTGGTTGAGTCACGATCCTTACCTTCTCTTCCGCAGTACTTTCAAACTTTCCTCCCTGCAACATGTCGGATATTTAGGAGATTATGACGCAAACCCTGCAAAACCATTACTATTCCACTTTAACTGACTATGGCTGCCTCATGGATTTGCAGTTTAGGTAGAGGATTTTAAAATCCCCAGCTGAAGAGGTCCAGGCCCTCACTAAACTACAAATCCATAGAAGGCAACCATACGAGTTAAAGCAGAGTGGCAACTGTGTCGTGCAGTCATCTCAATTTGCACTCGGCAGCCTGTCTCTTCCTCCCTCCGTATTGTGGGTCAGCTCACTCGAATATTCTTCCATCCCTTGTCTTGCCATCTGCTTCGTAACAATCGCTCCCCCTCCTTTTACAACTTTCAGGCAGAGAAAAACCGAAAATCGTGAGGATTGTGGAGACTACCATGTGTATGTGCTGCCCTTCGGGCTGTAGATAGTGCCTTCTCCATCTCCGACAGTGAATGTTCCATAATTCCCCCTTCTTGGTTTTGTTGAGAGGGAAAAACAAGCATTATACCCTCCAGTATAATAAACACAGTATTCCAGGCCTCCATCAGGACTGACTGAAATCCTCCCATAAAAGTTTCCGAAACAAATCTTGTGTTTGTTGACTGTCCTTTCAGCGACTCCCCAGAAAAGACAACTTTGGGTTGGTCCTTTTTTTTACTCACTCCAAAAATTTTGCAGGCATCGATGGGTATCATAATGTCATGGCGTTGTGCGTGTCTAAATAACATGGTTACCTACCCTTTTCACCCTCTGTTTCTGCCAGTCTTTTTCTGGACTTCTTTTCCTAAATCCTTTTACTTCCTCCAGAACTTCCAGGTTGGTCTGTAGAGCGCTTATCAATGTCAAGGCAGAAAACATCTTTTGGAAAAAAATAAATTATTACTGTATGGGACAATTATCTGGGCAGAAAGCATCAGTGGGATGGAAAATGCTGTAAACATGAAAGAGGAAAAGGTGGAACATCCCATTTTTCAGCTCTGTCTTCATTGTTTTGATTCGGGTTTTTCACCAAACCAATGAGACTGCGATTTGGACATCCTTATGGATGAGAATATCTAAACTTCCTGACACTTACCTGGGCAGAAGGGCATCTGTGGGATGGAAAATGGCGTAAACATGAAAGACGAGAAGGCAGAATGTCCCATTTTCAGCTCTTTTTCATTGTTTTGTTTTCATTGTTTTGGGTTTTCCACCAAACGATTAAGATTACGATTTGGACATCCTTACGGATGAAAATATCGAAACATCTTGACACTTTGAGGGGTATAAAAAGCCTTGCTTTCGCTCTGTGTGCGAGAGGCGCCTGAAAGGCTGTCTTCCGGGTCGAAAGACCTTTCCGTACATCGCATTTTGGAAGATAAGATGGCAAAGACTGCAGGAGACAAGTGTGGTCTCTATGAGCACCAATTCCCTTTGCTACAATTATCACTTTCTTGCTGGATTCCTTTTCAAGAAGTCCCCCTTGGTTTGGGAAGTTCCGTCAATTTCCTTGACCTTATCTAGCCGGGGAAAAGGGTGCAAAGTCAAATTGCGGAGGGAGTGGAGACAAGTCCGATTTGGTTCATCCAAATCTTGAAATCCGAAGTTCTGTCAATTTCCGTGAACTTATCCAGCCAAGAAGGGTGCAAAGAAGAAAGCCGAATTGCGGAGAGATTGGAGACAAGTCCAATTTGCTTCATCCAAATCTTGAAATCCGAAGTTCCGTCAATTTCCGTGACCTTATCCAGCCAAGAAGGGTGCAAATAAGAAAGTTGAATTGCGGTGAGATTGGAGGCAAGTCCGGTTTGCTTCATCCAAATCTTGAAATCCGAAGTTCTGTCAATTTCCTTGACCTTATCCAGCCAAGAAGGGTGCAAAGAAGAAAGTCGAATTGCGGCGAGATTGGAGACAAGTCCTATTTGCTTCATCCAAATCTTGAAATCCACTGGAACAAAGTGACAGCACTGTGGAGATGTGGTATCGCGAGACTTCCATTACACTGCAGTGCCCATAATACGAGGGTTGAATGAAAAGTAATGCCTCCAACTTCGTTACTTGGGTTTGGATGGGAATATTTTAATAAATAAAACGCAGAAATAATCCCGAGAATGTCCTCTTTAATTACCACTATTCACTTTTCCACATAATCACCAGACAATTGGATACATTTCTGTCAACAATGGACAAGTTTTCTGAAGCCGTTGCGGAAGAAGTCGACACTCTGTTTCTGCAACCAGCGTCTCACAGTTCTCTCAACGTCTTCATCAGAAGCATAATTATGTCCCCGCAGATCTTCTTTCGTTATCAGGAACAAATGGAAGTCAGACGGTGCTAAATCTGGACTGTATGGAGGATGCCGTACGGTGGTGAGATCCAGTCTCCGAAGCTTCAAGTCTGTGTGCTTTCATTTCAGGCGTCAGCATCCTGGGTACCCATTGTGCACAGATCTTCCAATAGCCAAGCAAAGCAATAATGTGACCCACACATAATCACCAGACAATTGGATACATTTCTGCTAACGATGAACAAGTTTTCTGCAGCCGTCACGGAAGAAGTCGACACTCTGTTTCCGCAACCTATCGTGTACAGATCTTCCGATAGCTRAGCAAAGCAAGAATGTGACCCACACGTTCTTGTGAAATGCCAGTTATGCTTGAAATTTCTCTCTGAGTGATACGACGTTCGTCCTGAATCAATCTGTCAACCTTTTGCTTGTGAAATTCGGTGGTTGTTGTCACARGACGTCCAACTCTTTGTTTGTCACGCAAGTCAGATGTTCCCACCTCAACATCTATAAACGTACTCGCCCAACGACRCACAGTACTCACATCAACACAATCACCATAAACAGCATGCATTCTCTGATGAATCTCCTTTGGGGTGACACCTTCTGCGGTCAAGAATTCAAGGACTGCACGTTGCTTAAGTTGAATTGACCGATCATCTGCGCAGGATTCCACACATCGCACTTTAACAACACAACCGTTCAATCCGAAGGCTTCCGGCCAAAATGGAACTGTAGAGGAGAGTCTACTGAACAAGCCAGTACCTGCCGCACACAAGTACTGCCATCTGTTGAGGAGTTACGAAGGTGGAGGCATTACTTTTCACTTTAACAACGCAACCTTTCAATGCTCAAGCTTCCCGCCAAAATGGAACTGTAGAGGAGAGTCTACTGAACAAGCCAGTACCTGCCGCATACCAGTACTGCCATCTGTTGAGGAGTTACGAAGGTGGAGACATTACTTTTCACTTTAACAACACAACCTTTCAATGCTAAGGCTTCCAGTCACAATGGAACTGTAGAGGAGAGTCTACTGAACAAGCCAGTACTGCCATCTGTTGAAGAGTTACGAAGGAGAGGCATTACTTTTCCAAAACTTGCAACCTATCGTCATTCAGAGCTTTTGTGTCTTGGATGTCTTCAGGGCTGAGATGTGACGCTCGGCATGCTCCAAACCGCCCTTCCTTCCTCCTCCCAGAGCGTAGGAGGTTGTTATTATACCATTATTTTTAATGACAACTTGGCCTTTTTTGGGGCGGCTCCCCAATTGTTCCGCGTGCCTCGCTTTGTGTGTCGCGTCCTGGATCTTCCTTTCCCTCCTGCTTCCTATTCTCTTTGGTAAGGACGG